TTGTATCGAGAATGCTTTGAGCCAAAAATAAAGCCCCTTCATCGTTTCACATAGCCAGAATATTCGGGTCTCATCCCTGTTCTTGGAGAAGCTGCTTTGGTCATGTGAAAAAAAGCATCGCATTCGCATTTCACGTACAAATCAGTTGAAATTTACAACGGGGTGCCAGCTCAAACATACGTTTTTGCACAGTTTTTTCCACAGAATAAAATTCTACACACGTTGCGCCATATTCACAGCAATGTTTCCGTTTCACTGATGTGATATTTTGAGGACCAGCGAAGTAGAAGGCGGAGTTCTGAGCCATTTCTGTGCCGGGCACTAAGTTCACACAGTCTCAGTCTTCTGAATTATCTAATCGTAAAGATGAAAATCACACACAGTTCTGAGGTCTCGTGAGCATGATTTTTTAATTTTGTAAGCGATTCCAGGGGATCAGTTTCGCAACTTTGATTTTTAGTTGCTGATTTAGTACGAATCATATATCATAATCACAAATCCGAATACGGAAAGGAAAAACAAACTGAAAATTCTCCTTTTTATGCTTTTTGCTGTGTATCGCTAAAGCACTGCGACAGGCAGCAAAAATGCATGCTGTGATGGCCCTGTCTCTGTATGTGTGTTTGTGTGTGCATTTTCGTTTGTCTGGGTATTTCTACTTGGCAACCGGTACTGAAATTTTATCTGTGTGTTCCAGTTCCTTAGCATGTCCGGATCTCACGTAAGGACACATGGAAATTTTGACGTAAAATTTAAGAAAACGCAGAAGGCTACAATTTTGAGGAAATACCTACTTAAGTATGACCAAAAAATTTCAAATTTAGCTCATCAGCAAATCCAATTCTCAACGTAAGGGCATGTGGAAATTTTGGCATGGAAGTTGCTAAATCAAACACAAGGAAAGTTAATAAGCTGAAATTTATTTCAAGGAGGCGTTCCCTGTCTATATACAACTTGAAGAATATTTCATATTCAGCCTCGAGGCATGCACTTTTCTTAACGCACGAGCGCGTGAAAGCTTTGGCGGAAAAATTGCTAATTCGGGAACCAGAAAAGCTAGGAGATTGAAATTTTATGGGGATGTTCGGATCCATATACAACTTAAGGGTTTCAAATTCAGCCCCCCGTTACGCGTGGTACTCACGCACAAGCGTGCAAAAGTTCCGGTGGGAAAGTTGCTCATTGATCATCAGTGAACGATCTTCCAACGGAAATTTTACATCTTCTACACATAATTTACGATGATTTACGCTAGTGAGTACATAAATTAAATACAAGCAACAACTATTCATGCACTTAACATCCTGTTTGCTTCAAGTTTGACGCAAAAATGCATGATCGCTTCGAAAAGTCGTTGCGTTGCAGCCTAGGGTTTCTTGCTCTGCTCTTATCGTGCAAATTAGTCAGATGTACGGTCGACGCAAAACTGTACGATGATTTCTGCTCTTAACTGCAATTGGAGCTCTGTCTGTGTTTACTGCTAAGGAATGAAAATTGCGTTTGCAAAAGTGCAAAAAGCGTATAAACAGTGGCACTTTTTTTCCTCTGGCGTTTTTCCAAAGGCAAATATTATATACAGTGTTTGTTAGGGAGAATGAGGCGCCGTTGGAGGCAAACGTGTGCTGCATGTGCACCGCCGAAGACAGGCGTTATGGCGTGAATTACCGATGCCAGAGGCGAGCAGTGACGTTCTGCTTGAGCGCCGTTCCGGAGCAGTGGTTCTGCTCGGTGAGTTATTTCCTTAAATTTTCGTTAATTCTTGCATTTCCCACC